GTTACACTTCTGCGCTACGTCTGGTGAGTGAGGTAGCTGGGACCCACTTTATTAAAAGATAAGGTAGGCAACGCATTTGCAACCCTACGGGTGTTGCAACATCCATGGGCGGCGGTTATCGCTTGACATCAGGCGAACCGCCAGCTCGTTTGCCACTTTATCACATAAACTACTTTACGGATTTTATCGCGTTTTAATTTTGATTTTTACTTCCCGATGTTTAGAACCCTTTCCAGCGTTCATGGTCACGGAACAGTCTGTCATATGTATAATATTCGGGTAAAATCAAGAAATAAATATAAAACAGTTTATCAATGCTTGTAAGAGCAAGTCCAATCCCCTTAGATTTTAATATTGCTAGCGGAGCATTTAGGTATTTAATCGATAAACTAACGTAATATGCAGCAACCGCCTTGAAAGACGGTCGTGGGCACAGACAAAAAACATTTTTGATTAGATCAGTTAGACAGATTTAGAGGTCGTCAATCTAGAATTTTAGTGCTATCTGTTATAAATAAACCTAGGGCAATTTTATTTAAGGCGGATTCATAGTTTTAGTTCTACAAACTTATGTTCAGTCATGAACTATTTAGATCATAAAAATATGTTATTATATTGGTCATTAAATTTAAAAAAAAAACAAAATGTAAATTATTTGTTAATGAGCAATCTTGAGATCAAATCTACTTTTTACATTTCACATAAATTAAGAGTATAATAATAGTTTATTAGTACAATGAATTTATAATTATATTATTAATAAATTAAAAAAAATTAAATAAATTAATGAATAATAGGTATTGTTTAGTTTATTTCTCATAAAACTGAATGTTGGCCACACTTGTTGTCCACATTCCACGAATAAATGAGAAATAATAAAAATGTTGAGATGCTCCAATGTCACACCGAGGTAGTTATAATTAACAAAATTAATTTAAAAATAATCTTCATATATTGCACCTGACATAATTTTAATAATAATGGTATGAAAATGACTATAATAAAGTATTATAGGAATAAGCTATTCTGCATGTCGCATTGCTTCTCCTCAGAAAAAACTACGAATTCTGTTACGATTACGACTACGTATCTTGGTAATTTGGAATAATGCTAAATATCTATTACATTGCGACACAAACAGACACAATCTATTGGAAAACCATTAAATACCACAATAAAAACGATTTACGCACTAATACCAAGGTGATGCATATCGACTTTTTTTTTATGTGAAAAGTTGCCAAACGAGCAGATGGTTCACCTGATGTTAAGTGAATACCGCCGCCCATGGTCATCTGCCACACCCGAGGGTTACAGATGCGTTGACAACCTTTTGAAAATGGGCTCCGGCTACCTCACTCACCAGACGAAACGCGAAAGTATTTGTCATACTTCCACTTTACGCTGGTCTTCTGTGAGGTCGTGGTACTTACCCGGACGGGCCTGCCCATTCGTGCAACAGCTGAGGCTGCTGCGTGGCCGTACCAAACACTGACACTGAGCGGTGTTTAAAAATTGATCCAATTTACATTACATTAATAAGTGAAGCGGGACTTTGCTGGATGCAGGCCGCTTCAAACTGATCGAACTGGAAAGCCCTAGAGGAGGCCTATGTTCAGCAGGGGACGTCGATATAGAACATGTTACGATGACGGGGTTGACGTCTTTAATTTCAACGATCTGTCGATGACAGTTTGAAATGACGTATATGATGTTATTTTAAATTATAAATGTCCCTCCTCCTGCACCCACGAAGACCTGCTTGAAGCCAACTCTGCTGCGGTGGATGTGGCTAAATACTGGTCGAACAAGATCTAACTAGCTATTTTGACTCGAAAAGAAGAAGAAGAATAATAAAGATAGTTTTAATTTGAAAGAAGGTTCGAATTCCAGAACTTTATTTAAAAAAGGGCGCAATTCCGACTATAAAAGGGGCTCCGAGCGCGCTAGATGGCAGTTCAGTGGAGGAACTCGAGGAAGAAGTAACAGGAAGAAGAAAATGACTGAATTTGATGACTCCGTGGCACAGTTGCCAAGGTATTGGCTTCGGCGTCGGGGGTCGTGGGTTCGATTCCCACACGGGACAACTATTTGTGTGACCCACAGGTAGTTGTTTCGCATCTGGGTGTTTGTCCGCATGAAATTTATGTGTGAGTGAACAGTATAGTAGTGAATAGTGACGCGAAGTGACTAGTAGAGTAAAGTCGACGGGTACGTGTCGATTGGTGCGAGAGGGAGCCACCGGCAGACGTGTCACTGTAAGATTGGTCCGGAACGGGAGAGTCGTCGCGCCGTTGGTAGTAGTAAGTGTTAATTCTTTAGAGAATTAATGAAATGGATTTTGTAGGCTTTGAAATAATTTAGAAAACTCGTGACTGTTTAGAAACTGTGTATTGTAGCAAGTAAGAAATGGAACATAACAGAACATTATAATATAGTGAATAGAGTATTGAATGTCGCTGTGCAAGTCGTTGTTGACGACAATAAAGTAACTGACTGATCACCGTAGATGTCAACTAATCAGCTGTCAAATGAATTTCAAATGTCATTTGAGTTGCCAAAAGGATGTTTAAACTCTTTGAATTGATCATTCTGATCATTAAGAAGATCATTCAGGTCAATTCAGAGAGTTTAACCATCCTTTTGGTACCAAAATTGTAATTTGAAATCCATTTGACAGCTGATTAGTTGACATCTACGATGATCAGTGTTTCAGAAACCGGGCGTAAGAATTGAAGGCTATTTACACAAACTTGCATAATTTGAGTGCCTCCGTTACGGAGCACTAGTGTCATATCTACCTCGTATTTGTATGTAATATCATTGACTAATACACGGTAACAGAAAGGTTAATGTAAAATTGAAATCACTGAAGTGATAACAGTATCGGTATATAGGTCCATGCCAATCAGATGAACGAATAGTTAGTACTAGCTGCTGCCCGCTAAGCCTGCGTGGAATAGGCTGAAGGTGTATCATTAAGACCGATATACATAAAGTTCTAAGACATGGTCTTAGTCTGATGTATAAGCTATATTATTGTAAAGTTTCATTAATATCCATTCAGTAGTATTTGCGTCAAAGAGTAACAAACATCCATCCATACATACAAACTTTCGCCTTTATAATATTAGGAAGATCAGATATATTCATTCTGTCATCGGACAAAGTCATATATCACCTGTTGTATATCAATGGTACTATTTTATTTTACTTTTATTTTATTTATAAAGATCTACCCCAAAAACATGTTCGGGGCACAATAAAAGGTTTTAAGTACACATAATTAAACTAACAAATGAACACATCAATGACAACTATGTCAGAAATAATATTTCAGTGCCCACAACATTCAAAGTTTCACCTAAATCGGATAAAAAATAACGCGAAACCATAGGGTAACATCACAGAAACATTGATTTTTATGTGAATGACGAAGTAAGAGACCGCAATGCAGAGTGCATTTTAATTGATGTCCGCGATAAAAGAATGATGTTATAACAGATCCCCGGATATCTAGAGTATGTGGTTTTTAAACAATATGTTCCTATTAAATGAACGTGACTATTAAAACTGGAAAGAGTTAGAAACGTCGGGTATTAAAAAGGCAAAAATAAAACGCGATAAAATCCGCAAACTATTTTCATTGAATATTTAACTATACTAACTTTATACTACTTAACTATAATTTGAATTTTATTCTCGTAAATTCATGAGATAAATATGGTCCTTTTTTATTGTTTACGTATTTTGTACGTCTTTTATTGTTTTTAATCATATAAATACAAAAAATAAATCTCTAACCGGTGTCACCAAGTTACGAGTTTTAGCTCAATCACCTCGGCGTCGTATCTTGTGACTAATTGATATTAATTACATTAACATGTTTTTCTATGATGTACAATAAACAATTTTATTTTGAAAAAATAACTGAATACAGTAAGTCTGGGTACTGTAATAAAGTTATTTGAATGAGCCATCGAGACTGTATCGAGTTACGAAGTTCTCATCTCTTCGTTTAACTCGATTAGAATAGTTAATGCGGCTTATGTTTTAGTCTATTGTTAGAAATTTCAGCTTTTATCGCAATTAGTCTATTTGGTAAATTCACCAATTTGCTATACCGACCTTGCAGACTATGACAATGAGATTAACGTGAAATCCTCTTGTAATTTACCAAGCACTTTGTCTCCATTGAAAAGTGTGGGGTAGACTACATAGTCAAATTAAATTCACATAATTGCACATAATGCTTGGCCTTCTCTTGTATACATAGGTATCATCAGTATTAACCTACTTTCTAGGAAAACTTAATAAGATTTAATAGATACTTTACGACTACAATAACATGGTATATACTCAAGTTTCTATTAATAAATTCTAAAAATAAAAGGTGTTAAATGTTAAAAAAGTTTGTGTCATGCTAGTGCGAAAGTGAGGTGACAAGGGTGCATTTTTTGCTGACACAAGAATTTTAACTCGTCATTCCATGACAATGAGTCTAAAAACTGCGTATCGACATCTCATTGACACATCATTGCTGCTTTTCAAATTGTTTTCTTGAAGATAAACTCCTTTTTTTTTGGCACGTTTCATAAAAAATATGAGAGTAAAATTTTTATGATGCGCGCGACACACTGTCAAAAAGCGACATGATAAAGTTGCTAGCAAAGCGACGAACTTCACTGCATTACCGTGGCAACCAATAACATCTTTTGACATTTACCTGTAATTCTAAATTATTTCATTGTTTTCAATTGCATTCAATGTCTTTTCACAAACAAAGAGTATTGGCGCAGAGGAATAAAATTTTTTGTTATATTTCTTTTGTCACGCTAAAAAGAAGTAATACTTTTTAGCGTGACAAAATGTGCGTACATAAATATAAACACATTTTTTTACTTTCAACCAATGTGATTGAAGAACCGACACGATTGGCGTGACCATCAAGGACGGGTGCAAGCCCATGAAACATACCACTCAACTGAAATCAGCACTCACCTCCTCATGTACTGGAACTTGACCACGATGAAGATGAGCAGCGTGTTGGCGGAGAGCGAGGTGGTGAGCACCGCCACGTACAGAACTATGATCGTGAAGTCGGGCTTGTAGAACACGCCCAGGTCCATCGGGGCCACACCCCATTGCTCTGAATCGTTCCACGAGGCGTCCTTAAGGGATGTATTAAATGTCCTCAGCGGCATCTTTTTTTTGCTATCTCCGTTTCTACGCAAGTGAACACTACACTACACGAATCGGTAGACGTAGCGTTGGAAGGCCTCTAGGGCAACCGGTGGATGCAAATGGCAAAGTGTCGTTCGTTGAGGCGTTCTAAGACCTATCCCAGCACCTTTAGAATTATAGTGATCAATCTAAAAAATATCATATGAACTATGAACAAACGCGGTGATTGGGGTGGAGAGAAAGAGACCGAAGTATACGTTATATAGCTTTCTAAAATCGGGCCTTGTTTTAAATAAAGCCAAATTATGGGTTCTCTTTAATTCTAAAGGTGCGCCGAGTTCAATAGTGGACATCTTGCGGCTCATGTTGATGACACTACACTTGAACATTTAAATTACTAAGGACGTAATCTAAGTGGCCAGAGCCAAATTTTCAAAAAGTTGCCACCGCATCTGGAACCCTCGGGTGTTGCAGATGTTCATGGGCGGCGGTATTCACTTAACATCAGGTGAACCATCTGCTCGCTTGGCAACTTTTCACATAAAAAAAAATAAAAAAAATAAAAAGTTTTATAATAATAACAATATATACCTATAACCTACATGAACCGGAAATATGATTCTTCAAAAGAGTCCTTTTTAAAGCTAAGTTCTTTTTTATTTTCTATTTGAATAGTTCTTATGCTAAAAACAATATTGATAGAAATAAATCTATCTGACTCAAGAGAAGAGTAAACTTTTATAGAGTAAAAATAGTTTAAATAATTCTGAAAGTTCGCACAATTAAAATCTCCTATATACCCGTCTTTTAATTTCGCCGGCCGTCGTCTTGACGCCGGGTTAAATGTTATTAAAGTGAAATACACATAACTAAGCGGTGTGTATCTTGAATACTAATCGGAAAACAATTGATTTACGTCATAGCACCGGATCAAAGGAATATACAACTTTTTGATCTGGAAGCATGGTAGTGATTTATCAAAAATTGTTTGAAGACTATCACTTACATTGAAAACTAAAAGTACGAAAATAAGTCAAAAATATAGTTTTTGAAACCTAATATACGATAAGGCATTTTGACAGACTTACTCAAAAATATAAAAGTTATTTAAAATTAATTAAATTACTGGTTTTTTTTTTTCATTTTTTTTATATTTATTATATTTCTAAAATTTTATAGATAATTGAAAATTAATAAAAAATATATTTTGAAACTAATTAACTGAAACAAATTAAATAATTGATTTTAATTTCATTCTAAACTTTCTAAATTCTAAACAACGAACCAAGATTTAATTTAAAACTTTTAAATTATTGTAATGTGTTTCAAAAAATCCTTCGAGTTACAAGTGGATAACAGTAATTCACAATGTATAGTAGTAAAATCGCAGGTATTAAAGTCAGACACATCGATATTCACACGAATATACCTCACTAAATTCGCGAGATTTCACAAACTTTACGTATCCAATTTCACGAGTACGCCGCGGAGGGGAAAAGTTCCGTGCGTCGTAACGGACGCAGCGTCCGATCGCAACTGAAAACTGAAAGACGATATTTTTTAACGTAAACCAAGAGAAAAATCTCCTGTTATCCATTTCTTGTCACGGTTTATCAACAAAACCAAATTATTAACGCACTCATTAGTTTTAGAAACTGATGTACTTTCTATTATTAACAGAACGCCATGACTTGTAAACTTGCTCTCAAATAGATTGATGTATTAGGTTTAGTGTTTTATTGGGTACTAGCGGCCGAAAAAGATGACGAATCACAATTTTTTTTCGTCTTTATGTTTTATTAGTTGTTTCGTAGATATGTGTGTCGAGAGCTGTACCACGAATACACATTAAGGATTCGTGGTAATACTTTAATACGTTCTTATATAAAAACGAAATTGTGTGTCTAGTGCTGTATCATGTCATATAATCACAATCGAGGATTTGTTGTAAAGCATAAAAACTAAAACCGGGCAAGTGCGAGTCGGACTCGCGCTTGAAGGGTTCCGTACAAAAACTTTAAAAACGGCAAAAAAAAAAAAAACGCATGTCTGTTGTATGGGGGAGCCTCACTTTAATATTTTTTTATTCTATTTTTTAGTATTTGTTTTATAGCGGCAACATAAATAGATCATGTGTGAAAATTTCAACTGCCTAACAATCACAGTTCATGACATACAGGCTGGTGACAGACGGACAGACAGACAGACAAATTCAAATAATTTATTCATCGAAATAAGAAATATACATTTCATTTATCGATAGTATTTTTTTTTTAATCTAACACCGTAATGAGGTTCCTCTAACGGAGAAGAAACAGGCGAAAGAAACTCCGTAGGACCTCTTTTTTGTCATTTTTTTTTCTCAAACAAATACTTTTTTATACAGGACATATTTTTTTAGAAACAGCTTAGGAGCGATCATCTCATTCCCAGGGTTTATTATCGTTAATGTATTCATTTATATTATAATAACCATTTTTATAAAGTTTTTCTTTCATATATTTCTTAAACCTGTTAATAGATAGGCTTTGCACATTAACTGGGATTTTGTTGTAGAAGCATATACACCGTCCCATGAACGAGTTATGACTTTACGGAGTCTAGTAAGTGACAGACAGCAGAGTCTTAGTAATTGGGTCGCGTTTTACCCTTTGGGTACGGAACCCTAACAAACGACGAGTCCAAATCCCACACAATTAGGCAGTCGCTCATAACGATACCAATCCTCCCTTTACACATAAAATATAACCAATTAACTCGTAATGTTTTAGTTCTCGTATTGCTGTGTGAGAAAAGTATCCCCTCTTATATTCTATTCCTGTTCGCCAAGGTACTACTAGTACAATCAGGCAAATTTGTAGAAACTATGCCAAGGCCACGGAGCAGTATGTTGCACGAATGGGCAGGTCCGTCCGGGGAAGTACCACGACCTCACAGAAGACCGGCGTAAAGTGAAAGTGTTATACTTATCGCTTCGTCTGGTAAGTGAGGAAGCCGCGGCTCGCTGTATTAAATGGTGTCAACCCATTTGTAACCCCACGGGCATAATGTACATGGGCGGCGGTTATCACTTAACATCAGCTGAACCGCCAGTTCGCTTGTTATATTTTTACAAAAAAAATATAAAAACACACCCCGCATTGACAAAGTAGAGGTTGCACTGACATCAAGTTAGGGCCCTCTAAGCCCGATATATAGACAGAAAATCTCATGAATTTGACTCACCGAGTCTAATATTGTATTGCTCGAGTTGTTGGAACCGCCATGGAATGCGGGAGTACTTTATGTAGGGAGTACTATGTGTTACAAGCTACGTTGTATTATTTGTCATGATTGTTTATGTAATGTTACATTCCGTAACGGGTATTTTCTGCTTTTAACGCTGGCGTATACAAGTCCAAAAACCGTTTCATAAGTAATCCTTAAAATCTCGTAAAGTATCAGCCTATAAATGTCCCACTCCTGGGCAAAGGCCTCCTCCCTCTGTCCAGAGGGTATCAGGGCATAGTCTATCACGCGGCTCCACATTTTTGAAATATTTTTTTTATATTATTTCGAAAATATGCAGGTTTCCTCACGATTTCTTTCTTCACCGCTGAGCACGTGATAATTCAGCACTTTGGTGCGAACTCAGGTTACTCAAGTATATTAAATATACTCGAGTAACCTGACTTCAATATATATTAAAGACGACCGCCCGGACACTGAGCTATCACGGCGATAGCTCAGTGAAATCTCATACCGTTATTGTAAAATTGTAGATTATATTTAACGAAATATACAATATAACTACATATATGTACTTTCTATTAGTATACGTACAAAATAATGGAACGATTTTCCAGCTTCCGTCGTTTGGTCTAAATGTGAGTGTTGTCAACAGTAATGCTTCCACCGAGCCAATTCGCTTACAGCTGATTTTACCATCACGATAGCGAATATCCAGTTCGTAATAAGAAAAGAATCGATGTTACACGAGTTCGTAATAATAGTTAATCGATGAACATATGATCATCATCGATGGCTTCAAGGTATTCGGATGATAAATATCACGTATTACTTTTCCACAAATAGTAACATAATTCAAAATATCGTATAAAAATAGAATCAATGCTCATTTTGAAGCGTTTAATTTTATTTAAAATATCTTTTCGATCAACGTTTCAAGTAACAAGTGCACTTTATTATACCAGTATGAGGACCGAATAAAGATTTAATATTATTAACGAGTTAAGCTAAAACGGAAATTTCGGATTATTCTACTTTCGGAATACTTAGCACAATGGAGACTTAAACTCTCTCTAAACGATAAAATTGCGGGCTTATATTTGTCTAAACCGAAAGCGGAACTATTTTATTTTTACTTTCTTGATGACGCACAACTTCTGTCAATGTTAAAATCGAAATTTTGAATATGCTCCCAGCTACGCTCAACCGAATTTCTAGTCTGCCTGGACTTAAGCCAAGAAAACAATGAACCACGGAATATGGTTGACGAAACGTCCCTATTCATTTTTTATTTGCATTGTTTATTAACAAAATTAATGTTTTTTTTATACAGTTTATTGATGTAACATTTACGATATTAAATCTATATAAAATGACTTATTATCTTATTAACCTAATCCACGCGGCATGGTGCCAAGAACGCTAGCTGCATTTCCTCGCTGAATAGTTATGCTTAACCTTTGAGTGAGAAAAGAACCAGCTCGGACTAAACTCACGGACCTAAAGTTTCAACAGCAAATGGCACAAATACATCATCTAAACATAAAGACTCATATTTGCGCCATTTACTTACTTCAGCTGCCTCCGATGCCGCCCCGGCCCTGACCGTAAAACCCCTTAGATGAGAGGAAGCCAGAGTCTACACAAGTGGCGTCCCAAACAAGGGCTTTGCCTCTCTTCCAAGGGATCAAGGGTTAAACCGTCGGATCTCTTGCCATCGTCGCGAAAAATGTCACAGGGCTCTAAAATAGATGGAACATTGATGGAAACAAGAGCCCTACGGATGATGTCA